TGAGTAACATCATAGGGACAAACTGAAAGGTAAAACATGACATCATGATTTGCATACCTTGTGCTATGGTAAGTTTAAATTCTTTTTTTTTTTTCAGAGATTTATGGTTATGATGATAAATTTTGTGCTAATGTATTAAATATTTAAACTAGACTAACAAGAACATCTACATTGTAATTGCTTAATGACAATGAACCTGGGAGATTAGCATAGCTTTTATTGTGATCATTAAAGAACAGGAGAGTTTTATTGAATTCAGCCTTTAGTGGATTTATAATTACTTCTAATAGGATGGGTTGAGGGGACCAAATTGCAGTTGTTCTTTTATCTATAGTATAAAATCTTTTACTTTTCTTACACAAAAGTATCAATGACCTTTATCACAAATCCAACTTCTGTTTTACTTAGTTAAACTGAGGGTTCAATAAGCCATGTTACAGTGCCCGCCTGTCTACCATGGATGACACAGAGGAATGGCAGTGACTAGGGGAGCCTAAGCCTATCAAAGTGTGGAAGTCCAGACTGAAGAGGTAGGTATCTGTGATTGCTCATTTACTATGGATACATCAGTTTTCATATGCTCCAGTCTGGTAAGTGCTTTTCTGTTTAAGTTATTAGTTTGTAATTCGATATACTCAGAAAAATAAAGTTCATCGCTTAATGGCTCTCTTCTAACAAGTAAATACTCAGGTTAAAGGACAGGAGTGATATTTTCAGTGGGAATTTAAATTGGCTTTTCTCCTCCAAGTGAATGAATGTAAGAAGCCATGTGTAAGTCTAATTCTGCACGCTAGTTCCTCTGAAGAATCAGGGAATCAACAGACGCAAAGGGATTGTTGATTGTCTGATTGGGGTTGGATACAGCTGGCTTAATTGGTTCCAAATCACTGGATTAAGAACCGAGATCTCTTATTTTACTGAAGTTCTTTGTTGGGATACATGATTTGTTTTTCTACAAGAGTGCAGTTTTAATGAAAGTTAGGTTTGTGGTGTTTCTTCCAATGTAAGACTTTCATGCACTTAAGACACAGATTAGGCACAGCTTCCATAGCCAAAGAGACTGATGCCATTAGAGGCATTGCGCAGTGTTGGCTAGTATGAATGACCTCATCTGCTACAATTAAGACATTGAATCAGATCAGATATATTGTTGAGGATTTGTGATATAACCTCTGCTATGAGTATAGAGGAATTGGGGAGTGGATCCAAAAAATGGGCAAGCATGGAGGTAGAGGGATAGCTCTTCAGTGAGAGCTATGCAGGTTAATGCTTCTTTATACCCATTGTTGGTGTTTTCTTACACTAGCCAGCAAGGGAGCATTTTACCTGCAATTTTATGAGGGACTGGCATATTAATAGCTTTTCATAATCATCCTATAAATCAGTTCAGTGGAACTGAGGAGAATCTGAGTGAAACGTTTATTAGATGCTCTTTCCTCTGGGATAGAAATTTATGCACAGCCACCTTCGAAGTTATTCACACTGCATGAATAAAAGGACAGGATCAGGCCTGAAATTTTAAATTAGCATAACTTCCCATACTATAAACCATTTCCTGAGTAATGGCTTTTAAATTGTCATCTCAGCTATCTTGACTACCTTGAGCTTGTTCTGAAATGAATGAGTTTAAATGTGGTTTAAAATGTAGAAACTGCCCTTATGAGAGACACACGTTGCTGAGGTGAGTTACATCACCTGGTGGCATTTTAAAACCTTGAATTAATTCATCTAAGCAGCTCAGTATATAGTGAGCTTATAATCCCTGGTCCAGGATGCTCTGTCTGTGTTCTATTAAGAGTTTAAAAAGTAATATCTGTATGCAATAACTGGAAAGCATTTTGTCTGGACACTTACCATATCATGGCACTTTACCTTTCTAGGGGCAGAGAAAATTAGTGGTATTATTGCCCTTCTTTAGTCCTATGTGAGAGGGAAGCACAGAAGCACCAGAAGCATTACCTTCTGAGTTTGTGAGAATATTGGTAAGGTTTTGCTTCTCTTTAAAAATACCTTGCAAGAGTGAATTTATTTGATAATCTGTAATTTTTAAAGAAGCTTCATTTTTCTCAGCAGCCTATTTAGAGACACATTGCCTTGGTGATCTGCATCTTTTGTTAGAGTTAACTCTGGACCTGTTTCAGTTTCAGTGGTTTTACTCATCATCTTTTGACAGCACAGTTCCAGTCTTTAGTAACAAAACATTTAGATTGGCCTGGATCATTTTGTTGTAAAGGCGATAGTGCTACATTGATGAGGTGAAAAGTGCTTAGTATTTTAGGGTGGATTTATTTTTCTTTTGGGATTCAAGCTTTTACCTATACTGTCCCAAGCTGTCATAGCAAGTGTCTCAGCTTTGGAAAGGAAAGATAGAATGTAGATATCTGATGGAGCATTCTAAAATCTTGGTTGAGTAGCACATTAAAATTCACATCTTTTAATAGCTTTATTATCAGTAAGCTGAAATCTGTCTCTTCGACAGATAATGAATATATTTGGCCCATTGTTTCCCATAACAAATGGATTCCTATTTATTACTTGTGTATGAGCAATATAATTAAAATACTGCAGCTGACCTTACAATTTGCCTCAGTAAGGTACAGTGGGTTGTCAGCAACAGGAGAGCAGTGTTTGTATTGTGAAATTTTGCATTCCAGAATCATGAACAATAAATATAGTAATCTCTTTTTCCTGTCCTCCTCCCTGTCCAAGAAGTTTATGCTTGTAATACCACTGAAACATTATTGGAATCAAATCAGCTACCTCCAGTGCAACTCAAAGAGGGAAAAATACACTAAGACATACTCATAGATATAGGGAAGAAGAGAGTGGCTGAAGGATGAGTGACAATGAGAATGACTGGATCTACATGAGACTGTAAGCTAAGATTACCTGGGCCAGAAAGAATCTCTGCCATTTGCAGAGAAGAGTATGCAGAAAGATTAATCTGCAAAACTCATTTAAATGATTCATCTTCTGATATATAAACTGAATGAGTTTTGGCCCAGATAGGACTGTAGCTAGTAAAGACAAGGAGCTCCATCTCTCACATCCTTAGGAATTTACCTATGGCACCAAAAGAATACCAACGGGCTACCTGTGCATCACTAATGTCCCTTAGGTTCCACCCCAAACCTACTCTACTTATATGCCTCCACTCCACGTGTTTCATGGAGAGATCACCAACTCTCGGGAGGAGATGCCACACCTCAGGTGATTGGGTTGTCTCTCCCCGCATTCTCAAAATAAACGTCATTTATATTTCATACTTCTTATCTTTTCAGCCACCGCTGGTCCCCCACAGTTCTATCATAAACCTTATTCCCTGGGAAATCATAGACTCTGATCTTGAGGCTTGAATCTAGTTGACATTCCTGGCTAGAGACTGGTCTCTCACCATCCTGCTGGGTCCAACCATTTTAAGGCAGACACAAGGCAAAAAACAGGAAACTTTCAGCTGGTTTCAAAGTTTACACATGGGTACCACAGCTAGCCCTAATTATGTTGCTTAGAGCTAATTAAAAGGAGATGAGTGTAGCTTAGCCAACTCCACATATCTGAACATGAAGAAAGGGCACAATTTAACTAAATTGGAGATAAATGTTCTGCATTCAAGGAGAGCCATTGAAATGGACTTCCACACCCTGAATGTTCACAAGAACAGGAAAAGAACGGAATGTGAGGAAACCCTTGAAGGCACAGTCCTGTGAAAGTAGCAGTGCATTCTTCAGCTTGCAGTGGATACAATGCATGATTTTCTTGGGGGTCAGTGATAGCTGGCTAATCTCACAAAATTTGTCTTCATACTGGTACCTTAATGGTTTGGGGACTGTGATAGATACTGGAAATAATATTGCAGTTGGTGCTTGGATGCAAAAGTGATAAAATAAGAAATATTCTCTGATGGAGACCCTGGGCCAGAGATTAAAAGGACACATTTGCCACCAAGAGGGAGATCAAAGTGAATCCTTGGCAGCAACAGGAAGGGTATGAAAGCCCCACATGGGTGATGTCAAACTTTCTCATTTCTCCAGCCTGTCTATGCCATAGTACCCCAATCAGAAGTAGAGATTAAGTTGAAGGAGGGGAGAAATCTTGTAGAAATTATCTACACCTGCCTTCTCTGCTGGATCTCTAAGCCTCCACAGAGGGAGGGCAAGGAATTCAATAACCAAGTGTAACATGGAGTTAGAACTAGTCTGAATTGCCTCCGTAGGCCCAAGGGAATAGAGCACATGGAGTGGTTACAAGCTGAAGAGGAAGAACTAGGAGCACAGTGGAACATGTTTGAACAATGTGTTACTGAAATCTAAACCCATGTTACGTTTGTGTCATGCAAATTTTTATTCTGTTCATCAAGTCTTATGCTGTTTATGGGCTTTCACAATAGAACCGCTGTGACTCAGAGTATTAGAAATATGAACAGATAGAATGTTACTCATTTTCACAAATGGTTTGAGAGTTACTGGACTTTATGGTATGAGTGGAATGAATCATATGAAATGCACTCTTTGATGATCACAGATCCAATTTATGCACTCATGTTAATTCACTGCAAATGCTTGTTTTCTTATTGCAAGTTTAGTTTCTGTTACTTACAAGAATTGTCTTTAAATTTTAGTTCCTTAGTGTATGTGAGCCATACCTAATGTTTGTGTTCCTTGTGTTTAATTTGTGACTGCATGAAACACATCCCAATTCCATTTTTTTTTCATTCTTTATCCTTTTTCTCCTCCCTCCTAGTTAGTTAATAGGAAATAGTGAGACTGATCATTTTTATATGGAATCAGTACCAATTGATATCAATTTCTCAATTGTAGTGTTATGTTTTGGGGAGTTTTCAAATTAATGAAAAATAGAAATTTTGACACACGGACTTCTAATATTTGGAAAATGCAAAATATTTATTTTTTTATTTTTTTGAGAAGACATATCTCATAATATTACACATATAAATAAAATATTTAAAATTAAATGAATTTTTCAAAGTCAGCGTCCTTAAGATCCACTCAGAACAGCACAAAGGACTATGTGCTTATTTGTGCCTGTCATGGGATACATAGGCTTTTAAGACCTTTAGGAAACTGTCCACTTTATAGGTATCCCTGAGCAGGCAGTGGCACAGGTGGTGAAAAGCATCAGTGAAGTCCTTTCCCTTGTCTGAATTCAGGGGTGCAAGTTCAGTCCAGACAGCATAATCCACATAGTCTGTAACTTGAAGGCCAAGCTAGTCACCAAAGAGAGAAGCAATGTATTACTCATATTAATAGTAATTTTTATTTTTGTTCCAATCAATTATTCATTTAAGATTAGAGGAAGAGATGGAAATGTAAAACTTTTTCCAATATCCTAAGCTTTCATGTGTCTCATGCAGGGGATCATAAATCCATTAATCAACTAACTGCTAACATCTAGAAGCAGAGCCCATCTGTTATTTTCCTACCATGCATGTGATCACAGGTGCAGTGAGCTCCTATAGGAGTAAAGAACCAGACATCCAAAAAGTTACTAGTGGAAGATAGATATGAATATCACCAGGGAGAGTGGAACATCTAGCTTGTAGTATGTCATGTAAGGGAAATTGACATCATGTTGTCCTGGGTGAACCCTTTGCATTTTTGATATTTCATTATTTATATTGCACTGTTCTGAATTGAATCTACTGTTCATAGAGTTCCTGTAAAATAAAAGTTCTCATAAGGGGTGAGAACGGCACTAGGTCTTGCACAGGACTGACTCTGACGTCAGGAGTCTCTCATTCCACATGGGATTATTTCCTGCCTGGTCTCCATGTGGAGCAGCTGCTTCATTTGAGTTACCTGGGCTTGCAACTGGTGGATGTAGCACCTTTAAGAAGTTGGGCACTGGAAGCAAATGATGTGATATGCATTATGCCATGGGGTATCCTGGGATGGTGCTTCACACAGTGCTGCACAGTGCAAGAGAAGACAGTGGTGCTCTTTGAGCTCAAAATACCCCTTCAAGCTGGAGGGCCCAGGAATTCCAGATGCCAGCACCCATTCTGACTCTCTGGGGAAGATGTGGCCTGATTCCAAAAGCAAAGGACAGAAACTAGGGAGAGTTTACACCTTGATCTGCTGAACTTTTATTGGGATTTAAAATGGATGGGCTGATCTTAATTTTTGTCTGTTTATTTTGAATTACTTTTGGTGTTTGATCCTTCGAATGAAAATAAAACATGGTATGAATATGAACAAATAAACAAGTGGTAGAACAGGAACTAGCACAGGAACTGAAAAAGTACTCCACAAATTAGTGAGCTCTAGGATTTCTTCTTAATAATGAAGAAAATATTGAACATTAAGAGTTAAATTTCTATGATCCTCTGTTAATATATTCTTTGCAGTACCATGAGTTGGAGATAAGCTTCTTCAATGACAATCACAAAATAATATAATTTAGCAAGTACATATTACCCCAAAAAGTGAAATCTATAATTGCTTATATTGTTATGTCTGTAATACTAAATCTTTATTTTAATGAGGCATTATTTCTATAATTTCAGATATTGGTTATTGCACTTTTGTTGAAATCACCCTACTAGAGTGGACATACATAGCAAAAGAGTGATTCACTGAAGGCAATACAAATTTTGGGAGCCAATTAACTGAAATGGATTAAGTTCTAGTTTTGAAATACCAAAAAATTAGGTAAAGATGTTCTATACATTATAGAATATGGAGCATTCCAGAAGAGGTTGCCATGTGCTTCAGGGCAATTTATATAATCTAGTGATTCTAAAAATGCAAAGGTAATGTGGCCTGCTTAGTTTACTCTGGCTAACATAGGGTGGTTGAGCAAATAATACGATTGTCATTTTCCTTTCTATCTCGTGATTCTAAATATCTGATGGAGCTAAAACAGGTAGAATTTTTTCCAGAATTCTTTCCAGAATTTTACTGTCACATTGGTAAGATAGTTTAAGGGATACACTTCTTGCAGGTAACCTTGTGTGAATTTCTTCTCAGGGAAATGTGTACCCACCACCCATGAAATGACAATTCTGGGGGCTTCCTGTGCAGTGCAGGGGGTGGCCCCATCAGCAGAGAATCCTGAGACCCCTGGACGGTAGGATCTGAACTGCTGTCTATGCCTTTGGCTCTGTGGAATAGCAGACTGGAAGGTGCAACACTCAGGCTAAATGCTATTCCTGCAAAGCAAGGGATGTCACTCCTCTTGCCAATGCTGAGTGGATGTTGATAATTAAAAACCAAAGGAACATCAGGAGCTACCCACCTGTCTAGCCATAGTCTTCAGCCCCTCTAGAAGTTGCTGTATTTTCTCCTGGATCGACTGGGACTTCTCCATGAAATTCAAGGGGACCTCTGGCAGGTGAACTGCTTGGGCCATGAGATGGCTCAGGGGATCATCCCAAGAGCGCATCAAGTAGATCACCAGGATGATCAGGTCCTTCTCCTGAGCACCAGGTTGGAGCACACCATAACAGAAGCAAGACACAGACATGTCAGTTACTGTGACTTTCTCTTAGAGAGGCCAACTGAAAAACTGACTGTAGGTTCCAGTGTATGTGAACTTTTTCTGTAGATTATAGATGCTCTTAAAATTTACTAGTTAAGCCATTAGCCTAAACATTGCTATAGTAAAACAAAGAAACAACATGTAACTGGTTGATTAAAATAAATACCTTTCTAGTAGGATTTCTATTTAATAACAATATCTCAGTGTTGTTTTCCCACTATACTTCCATTTTTCATTAAAATCCTGTTAACACTGTCTATGGCAGAAAATTTGAAAAGCACATTTGTAGCAGGAGAAAATAGAGCATGTTTAAATTTTTCAGTTTTCATAGGTTTGCTCTGCTATCATCCAAGCAGAGGATGAGTCACACATGGCATCATGATATGAAATGGTATAATCATAGTGGGGGGACTTCAGTAGACTCAGGATAAGGGTAAGAGCAAGTGCATACTGAAGGAATCTGCACTTCATGTGCAGAAGCAGATGCAGAAGGGGAGAGATGCCAGTTCCATGGAGAAGGTACAGGACAGAACAGTTAGGACTGGAACCACCACCTACTCAGGAGCCACATTAACCTGCACTGGGGTAAACAGCACCCACATTTCTCTCCTGAAATCCTAGGTATGTGGTGTTGGTTGAGGTAAGATCGTCTGCATCTCCAGCTTTCCGATCTTGCACAGTTTTTATTCAGCACTGGGTTTTCCCTGGGGTTTCCAGGTACAGTGTGTTTGCTCTCACTGCTCCTTATCCTACTGCTCTGCTCTGCAGTGTAACTCCTATCACCAAAGACCACAATAACCCTTAGAGCCCACAGCCTGCAAAGCCAGACAATGGGTGAGGGTTAGGGTTAGGGTGCTGGTAGTGCTGGGCAGGAACTCACCTTCATCTTCAGGATCTCTTCCTTGTCACTGGGGGTGGTGATGGAGGCTGTATGGCACCTTTTCCTTAACACTGAAAAGATGTCTGTGTCCTGGGAGTACAGGGTTGTCTGGAACCAAAGGAAAATTCAGGGAGTTGGGCTTGTAAGTGACAATAGGAATCTATCTGCTTAATGTGGTTACATCTAATGTTGTGTAATTGATTCCAAAAGAGGGCTGCGATGTGTCTGACAATACAGAGTTTGGAACTTACCCCTTTTACCTAATTTTCCATTACCTAACTTTTCTGACCTCCCACACTCTTCTATTTGTTATGCCTTTATTTTGCAGCTTTCTTCTTACTACAAATGTGGTACACAGCCATGAAAAAAACAACAAAACTTCAAAATATAACTGTGTTAGGTAACACTTTGCTCTAGCATTTGACCCAAATGCTGTGATACAGGTGTGTCCATGTCTACCTATTTAACCTCTTGCTTTTCAAAGGGTTCAAACTGGTAAACTGCCCTTAAACAGATATAAAAATTGCATTGTTCTTTCAGGTAGCTCTTATTCCACATACATCCAGCTTACCAGTTCATCATCAATTAAAAATGTAAGTTTTTATTGTAAAAACTTAATCCCACAACAGACAAAATATATGATAAAGTCCTAAGGAACAGATTAAGATTAAACACCAATAGATTACAAAGATGAGTAATAAGTAAATTTTCTGAACGTTGAGAAAGAATTTTAGTATGATTTTGTGTAATACTCAGGGCAAGTCAGAAATGCTAAAAGAGAAGACAGGGATGCATAATAGAACTGTGATATGAATATATCACAAACATGGGTCAGTTCTCTGTGCAGTATTTTTGTGTCCTCAGCCTTAACCTGTCATCCATTGCAACACTGACCACGTAGGAGACAAAGCACACTGCTAAAACTGACTTTACCTGGAAACAAGTTCACTGCTAATCCACATCTTTCATTATCCATTACAGTGGAAATCTTGGCTTACTGCCTCCTTGTGTTTTGTGGTCTCAGAAAACCTAGATTTCTTTCCATCTTTGAAATTAAATTGAAATTAAGTTGATTTAATTCGATTCTATTTGATCTGGCCAGTTCTCTTATAGCTGTTCCCATGTTTTGGGCATCTATGATGCACTCTATGAGGAATGCCCATGGACTATCCCTGCTGGCTAGAGGAAGAAACCAGCATGCTTCCTCAGGCCTAACTAATGGTGACTAATGTCAGGAATATGCATTTTAAAAAACAAACGGAAGTAAGGAAAGTCTTTTTTTTAATCTATAAATTTTTTTATCAATCATAGATATCATAAACCTTCCTATACCAGTATTTCATATTTTATTGGCTTCATGCTTTCTTTCAACACATCAATCAATATTATTTTATATTTTAGTGATAAGGTTTTCAAACATAAATTGTACTCCTTATCCAGAATTTTTGGTAGACCTCCCTTTGAGATGAGATGAAAAGAGTGCTACTTACAAAATCGTGGCACAGTTCTGAAGTGAGGACGTGGATACTGTCAGACAAAATTGTTGCATGCTCAAGCAGACGTGGCAGGGTAGTCTGGTGGGCTAGTTTAGCAGTACAATGTGAAAGAGAGGCCACATTCTTCCACAGGAGCAGGCTTGACATCAGCAGCACCATCAAAAGTGACCCTGGTTAGACCCAGACACATACCACTCTTGATTTTCCAAGCTTCCCAGAACATTCCTCACTTGGGAAGCCTTGCCTCTCCTGACCTGACCTGCTGATGTACTCCTTGGAGCAGAAAGTTTGTAAGGGGCATCTCCCACTGTGATGTGTATGTAGACAATTGCTCTTGCATAGAGACAGAATTTGAAAAGGGGATCACTTCCTGCTGTTATGTATTTCTTGCAGATGTATCAGATAAATTAGTGTACAACTATCTTAACTATCTTGTCCTTTACTATTTCTTCTCCCCCACACCATCCTAGTTTCTCTTTCTTTTGTAACAATTTCTTCCCATTTCACATTTTGGATTGCCTTACTGTTGTTTGGACAATTAAAAAAAATATATATATAGTACTCTGAATAACTTATTTAAAGATACCAACAAGCAGTGTATTAATCAGTGTTTTCCTTCTATTAATTTGCTTTGAAATTTCACTTTTTTGGTTTCCCTATGAAAAAAAAATCAATAAACAAGCCATGTAAAACTGGTAACTCTTGCCATTAGCTACATTTTCACAGTAACCCACCCAGATTGGGGGTGAATCCAGCACTCAATGTTTGTTGCACATACCTCTCGCCTTAGCATTCATGGTGGTGGTGATCAGAACAGGAAGCACAATTGAGTGGAGTAGGCCTGGCTGTCTCTGGTCCAAGTTCAGATGTTGATTCTGAATCTTTGAAGCATTCACAGAGATATTTGATCAGACATTTTCCTCACTCTTCCCAGTCTTCAATGTTCCTCACTGAGATGACCTTAAACTTTCAAACATCTAGAGATATTTTATTTCTCAATCATTTCCATTAGATATATGGAAAATGAATGGATTTTGAGTAATTACATTTCATAAAAATGATAGAAATGATGCAGCAGAGTTCTGAAGATCATTTCTGATAAGAGAATCTAGGATTATTGAAGTCTTTATATGAACTTTATTTGTGTCTCCTCAGTGTTATATGTATTAAACTTTTGTTTAATATAAATTAGAAATTAAAGAATCAACAACAAGGAACTTATCTTGTTAAAAGTTTTTGCATTTCAAAAGAAACCAAAAATACAGTGAAAACAAAACTCACAGAATGGTAAAAATAAATTTAGCTATCAATCTCTCAGAAAAAGGACTTATATCCATAATATATAAAGAACTGTAAAAAAGCAGACTACCCACATTCAGAGATCCCAATCAAAAAGGGTATCAGAGATGAATGTGCACTTATTAGATAAAGAAATACAATGGCAAAAAATACATAAAGAAATGTTCAACATCTCGGGTCAATCAATAATGCAAATTAAAATAGCATCTCATTCCAAAAAGAATGGCTGTCATCAACAAATCAACCAATAACAATTGTCGGTGGTTCTGCAGAGAAAAAGGCACCCTTCTCCACTGTTGGTGGGGGTTTACACTGGTGCAACAACTAGGGAAATTGGTGTTGAGATTTCAGAAATGTATAGGAGTAGACATTCTATTTGACCCAGGTCTTTCACTTCTGGATATCCTTCAAGAATTGAAATTATCATACCACAGTGGTATATGTGCAATTTGAAAGAGCTAAATCTTTGGAAAGACCCAAATCTCCATAAACCACCAAATGGGATAAAAGAAAATGTGATATTTCTACACAATGGAGTATCACTCAACTACAATGAAGGATACATGAAATTTTCTACAGTTAATGGATGCCATTTGAGACCATACTGATAAGTGAAATAAATCAGACTCACATACGTAAATATCATACTGTCTGTCTCCATAGTGTAAGAATCTAAATAATGTACAATACTTACAGATATTGTGAAAGTGAATGAAATTACAAAGAAGGAAATAATAACTGGAATTTGGGAAAGGACAAAAGAAAGAAAGCAAAAGATCACATATAAATATATATAATATATACATGATAGTTAATTATACTATTAATCTCTTTCAGTTCATTAAAACCAGTTTGAGTTTTCATTGTTCTACTGTTTGATCATTGCTTTCATGCCTGTATCTGGTATTCTGAATAACTAATCTGAAAAGAATATGCAACATATTAAGCAGTGTTAATTTTCCATTGTTTTGTTTTGAAAATCTGTATCATCATGTGTATTCATTTATGGTTTAAAATTTAAAAAATAAAAATTAGAACTTTTCTCATTCATGATTGCTATTTTAGCCAAAATTTCAAAATATATGCAAAGATCATGAGACATAGAATGAGAATTATAAAACAGTTTTCAGTCTCCAGACATGCACTGATTAGATCTCTCTCATTTTCCTTGATTTTTACATGCTCTATTTTGTCTTCTTTGTATGACATATGTGAATGATGCCTTATTTTATAATATATATATCCAGTTCTCTATAGCTTTTGGCTTTAGCATGTATTTAAATTTGCATCATTATCACTACATATTGATTAAGAAACAGGCATGGAGGAAGTAAGTACAAAGTTATAGAAAGTATTCACCTACTTTATAGAGTGCAGCAAGATTGATTACTTCGACTTGAACTGGGATGAATTTGAACAACGAAGATTTGACAAACAAATAATTTGAATACTTTAACAAATAAATAATCTAAAGCATATTAATCTGCAGCGATGTCTAAATCTGTAAGTTATCAGCCCTCACAGCAGAGAGCTTTAAAAACACAGCTTTTTCTCAGGCCAGAGAAATGTACATGTTCACACATATTCACTCACACATTTGACATCATGCAGTAAGCAAAAAGGCTAGCCATTGTTCTTCATTTTCAAAGACAGGGATTGAAATACTGTAAATAACTCTTATGAGGTAGCATTCCTTGACATAAATTACTATGGAAAAGGTTACAAAATATGTCCTTTTTGGATTCAAGCATCCATTCACCACTTAGAGATTTTTTACATGATGTTAAGTATAGTGAATATTTGTGGTCACTCTCTCTAAATTTTATACCTATGCATCTAAAGCAACATGAGAACTTGACCTTCTCAATATAAGTATATGGACAGATGAGGGAATTCAAGAATAATTACTTTCTATGGTATTTCTTTGTTGTATTTTTAATATCACAAACCATTTTGTCAAATATCTTAGTAAAATACTTAATCAACACTAACATCTTTGAAATAGAATCTTCTAATTACCTTAGCTTGAGCAGTGCCAGATTTTGAATTTAAACATCACATGTGGTAATTTATCAATTCTAAATGCTTGGACAGAATTTTGAAATGGCATAAGATAGTGGCTATTTTCTTTCAGTTAATACCAAAAAATAAAAATAGTTATAAAAAATTATGCCATGAAATAATCTACTGTGCACATATAACGATGGACTTTTTGGAAAAAACATATAATGATGGACTTTTTGGAAAAAAATGACAGCCACAATTCAATGTTGTGAAATAAATTCTTAAGTAAAATTGATATTAGAATTAGAAATCAGCCTGAGTACAGTGAAAGGAATAGAAACTAGGTTTTCTGAATAAAAGTAGCAATTTTTACCTGTGATAAAACTTGGAACTAAAAACTACATAGTACATTTTTCATTAATTTAATCACCAAATTAATAACTGTTGTGAATAAACTGCTTAGGCCTTCGCTAGAAGGAAAGAAACAATGGAATGCATATTAAGCAAACAGAAGTGGAAAGTTAGGCAAGGAGCTATATTATTTACACTTACAGTACTGCAGCAGGGGAGGTCACAGGATATCTGAAGGCTAGAAAGTCGGAGTTTCCAGGACCTGATCAAGAAAACAAGCTGTAAGTTTCAGAACACAAGGTAGAAGGAAACAATTCTAAGACCCACATAAAAACCCTGAAACTTACAGCAGAGCCACTGCAAAGAAGCTGAGATGGGTGACTGAGGAAGATGAGCTCCTGTGGAGCGCAGGAGACCAGGTCTTTCTACCCCGTTTTATTCTACACAGACTGCAAGCCCATTGGATGCTGCCACCCTCAGTCTGAGTGGTCTTACCTGTCCAGTGATGTGGAGAACATTCCAATCATATCTGCAAATACCTTGTAGGCATATACAGAAATGAACTTTACTAATCTGCTGGATATTTTGAAATCCACTTATGTAGACTTACCATGATTAATAGTCACTCTACATCTCTATCAACTTCATGACAAGGTACATCTAATTAAACCATACTAAACTTTCAAATAAAGGCTGCAACAAGTTCATAATTTCACTTAACATAATACAATTATCCTGTATATAGGTGGGAATGCACAGATTTCTTTTTAAAATAGGAGTCAAAGTTTCTTTGGGTGGTGTTATGAGTCCCTGATAACATTCCTAATAATGTAGATTTAATGTTAATCTAGATACAATGGTTCAAAAATGTTACCTTCTAAGCAGTAAAAATACAGTAAAGATTGCCTAAATGAATATATATATATATATATATATATATATATATATATATATATATTGAGCCAGCTTCCTAGAGGTGTCTTGCTACTTCAGCTAGAGGGATAATCCATGACTCGATGGGTATCTGGGAAGACTCCCTTTATGTCTGGGTGGAGTTGTGGTTGTTTTGTGTTGACCTTACTAACAAGGCTTGCCAATGTGAGAAGATCCCTAAACAAACTGCAGAGCTCCAAGCCTACTGTGTGCTATCTCCCTGGTGGAGTATTAGTCTCAGATCTCCATGGTAGTCTGCATCAATCACTCTGTGAGCACCAAAAATCTCTGTGTAACCTCAGAAGCATGATGAGTTTAAAAGGACTTCAAAGCAGTCTCAGATTCCAATTAAATAAAATATGTCTTTTTGTCTCAGCAGAATTGTTTACCATTTTAGCACAGCACAGCTATTAGCAGAACAAATAGTAATGGGAGTAGTAAGCAAACACTTTTGCAAGAGATCCCTAGGGGAAAAGCTAGTGCTTTCCACTTGTCCACATCAGTTTCTGGAGTATCTGCCAAGGTATAGAAATAACAGCACCATATTCTGGATACTGACAAAGAGCATAGCAAGTAATTATAATATGGAACAATTCTGAAGAACTGGCTACCGGCCCTGGAATGTATTGCTACATAGTTCAATGTAATTATATTTACATCTTCATATTCTCTCCCCCCCCAAAAAGTAATAAGAACTGAGGAGTAATAAAATCCAAAATGGGTAAATTTTGTTGTAAAAAAGAGAGGGGAAAAAAAAGAGCTCTAACGGATATAACAGCAAGTGTGTTTTGTGTTTAGGGGTGTTAAATAGCTGACTATATTAATGTTTTTGGATCATTGAACACAGCTGTTTGCAGTCTCCCTGTTTGAATGTCCACTTTGTATTCTTTGATACTGTGATTTGAGCAATTATTTTCAAGATGATAATACGTAATCTATTAACAGGTGATTTCTTACTGTTATGTTTTTTTTTTTTTTTGTAGTTCTGTATTACATGTACTGTTACACCGCTTTGTTTTGTTTTGTGTTTTTCTCTTTTTCCTCTTAAATAAAATTTAAAAAAAATAAAAAAAATGTTTTCTTTTAAAAAAAAGCAGATTTCATCATTCCATCTATCCTGCTGGAAGTATATAGAGGAAAACATGAGCCCAGGGAAATCCATGTGCCAGGGCCTTAGCCAGTGTCCTTGGCTATGAAGTGTGTCCCTCTGTCAGAAACAATAATGCATGATGGTGTGGGAAGCCATCTGTAGGTCGGTAGATGTGCATCTTAGAAGAAGCATTATGGGAAAGGAAGGTAAATTAGCAC